TATATCAAATTGTTTATTTCAAATTAGTGAGATTAAAATCGGTATGGTAATTAAACTAGAGTACTATTTATATTTAATATATATTTATAAAGTTACTAAATTATTTATATTGAGATTAATATATGTATGATTGTTGCACTATAGTAGTATTTTTATTTATATATTGAATTTATATACATAAAGAAATTTTATTTAAAATTATTAAGATTAAGATTAACATGTATGGTTATTGACATGTATGGTTATTAGTTGATATGTTAATATACTTTTTCAAATTGAAATTCAAATTAGGTAATTAAATGATAGACGACTGTAGTTGGATAGATCATCGTGTAAATAATATTTGTTATCGATATATTTAAAAAGGGGGTGCAATTTTTTGTGAGATTTGCATTTTCAAGACCAAAAGCAAAATCAGAGATTAAGTGTCCTTGTTCAAAATGTAAATGTAGAAAATGGGGGAATCCTGAGGTTGTCTCTGTGCATTTGTGTAAGCATGGGTTTATGAATAACTATTATACATGATATGTTCATGGAGAGACATCCAGCAATATAGTAAGAAATTTTGAAGGAGAATCTTCTAATATGGAGTGTGTTAGAAATGAGGTAAATGCATTATACCATGAAATGATAGTTGATGCAATGGGTGCATAGTCTGAATACTATGAGGTGCCAATGGCTGAGGAGCCAAATAGTAAGCCAAGAGAATTTTATGATCTCTTGCATGCTACAGAAGTTCATATAGGTGTCGGGGGACAGGATGTTATACATGATATGTTCATGGAGAGACATCTAGCAATATAGTAAGAAACTTTGAAGAAGAATCTTTTAATATGGAGTGTGTTAGAAATGAGGTAAATGCATTATACCATGAAATGGTAGTTGATGCAATGGGTGCACAGTCTGAATACAATGAGGGGCCAATGGCTGAGGAGCCAAATAGTAAGGCAAGAGAATTTTATGATCTCTTGCATGCTGCAAAAGTTCATATAGGTGTTGAGGGACAGGATGTTACAGTATTTTCATGGATGACAGAAATGCTAAACATGAAAACTCTTTATAATATGAGTGCTGCTAATTGGGATATGGCATTTTCATTGAGTCGAAAGTTGTTGAGTCCAGAGGACCAAGAAAAGGTGCTAAAGGATATCTACAGTGCCAAAAAAAATGATAAATGTGCTTAGACTTGGGTATAAGAAAATTGATATTTGTGTCAATGATTGCTTCTTGTACTATGATGAGCAAAGTAAGAATTTAACTACTTGTCCAGTGTGTGGAGAATCCCGTTATGAGCCGAGGAATATGTCTGCTATAAGGCAGAAAGATGTTCGAAGGAAATATTTGTGGTATCTTCCAATTACCCAAGATTGCAGCGACTATACATGTCCAGGAAAACAGTAGAGCACATGACATGGCATTTGAAATGCCGTGAGGATGCAAATAAAGTTATTCATCCTGTTGGTAGTGAGGCATAGAAACACTTTGATGAAATCCACCCAACATTTGCTGATGAACCTAGAAATGTTAGACTTGGCCTTTGTACAGATGGTTTCAATCCATTTGGTTGCTCTACAACACCTTACTTTTTTTGGCCTGTTTTTCTTACAGTATACAACTTTCCTACTGAATTGTGTATGAAGTTAGAGCATATATTTCTTGCCATGATAATTGTGGACCTAAAAGTCTAAGAAAAAACGTTGATGTCATGCTTAGGCCATCAATTGATGAACTTAAGGAATTGTGGACAAATGAGGTTGAAACTTATGATAGTTTCAAACAATAGAATTTTATCATGAAAGCTGCATTGCTATGGACTATAACTGATTTTCCAGGTTACGACATGCTATCTATATGGAGCACACATGGGAAGTTGTCATACCCTTATTGCATGGAGAACACTAAGGCTTTTCAACTTGAATATGGGAGGAAAACATCATTTTTTTATTGTCATCGTCAATCTCTACCTCCTAAACATCCATTTCGTAGAGATAAGAAAAATTTTTATCTCAATAGAGTTGAAAAAAGTTGTCCTCCCCCAAGACTAGATAGTCTTTGATAGAAGAAAGGGTTAATCAGCTCCCTGACATAGTCTTTGGCCAGCCACTTCGTAAACATTCAATTGCAGGATTTGGTGTTTTTCATAATTGGGTGAAACATAGTATATTTTGGGAATTGCCATACTGGAAGGATTTATTAATTCGTCATAACTTTGATGTCATGCATTGTGAGAAGAATTTTTTAGATAACATTAAAAATATTGTCATGGATGACAAGGGTTGTATGAAGGATAACACCAATGCTATATTGGATTTACAACTGTATTGCAATAGATTTGAATTAGAATTGATACCTCAAGATGATGGAACAGCTATAAAACCCAATGCTACATATGTTCTTACTCGAGAGCAACGAGCTCTTATCTATCAGTGGTTGAAGGAATTGAGATTCTCAGATGGGTATGCATCCAACATAGCACGATGTGTTAACATACAGGAACTTCAATTGTTTGGGATGAAAAGCCATGATTGTCATGTATTCATGCAGCGTCTCTTGCCAATTGCTTTCCGTGATTTCCTCATAGATGAAGTTTGGGGTCCCTTAACTGAGATTAGTAACTTTTTTAGAGCTTTAACTGCTCCAATTATTCAAGTTAGTAACATGAAGATGTGGGAGGAAAAAATTGTTGAGACCATTTGCAAGCTAGAGAAAGTATTCCTGCTAGCATTCTTTGACTCGATTGAGCATTTGGCTATCCATCTACCATATGAGGCAAAAGTTGGAGGACCTATCCAATTTCGTTGGATCAATTCTTTTGAAAGGTATATTTCTTTTAATATATCTTTGCATCACAATAACATTCATGAGCATATTTAATAATTTAATGTTATTAATTAATTTTCTTATTTGTTTAACAGAAAAATTCATGACCTTAAGAAAACAATGTTGAACAAAAATCGTGTTGAAGCTTCAATTTGCGAGTCTAATATTCTTTCAGAAATTACCTTCTTTTGCTTGCATTATTTTGGATCTGACATAGAGACAAGATTGAATTATCAACCAAGAAACATTGTCGGCGTGAATGATGATATGGATAATTGTTTTTCTGTCTTTAAACATCGAGGTCAACCACTAGATGAAGAAATGCGTATGTAGGCATTGTCACCCAAAGAATTAAAGGCAGCAGAACTTTATGTTTTGCTTAATTGTGAAGAAGTTAATCCATGGATTGCGTATGTTCTCTAGTTCTAACTTTCGTTTGATTAAGTTACTAGTATGTATAGATTGTTTACTCTAACTTCTTCATGTAGGCTTTTTGATTA